ACATAAACGCGACGACAGAACAGTTACAGCCCCAGGTAAGACCACCACGGGCTCACCATAGCCCGTGCTACTTGGAAATCTGTTCCCAGCAGCTGAATCTTAAACAACAACAACAACAAACGTGACACATGTGAACATACATGACACATACATGACACATACACATGAAAATCCATAAATTGCAACAAAGCACAGTCACTCTTCTCCCCCCCCCCTCCACCCCATCACGCACCCCCCCCTCCCCCTCTCCCTCCCCCGCCCACCACCTTCCACCAGGTACACACTCAAGGGCGTCAGTGGTGGGGGTGTTGGTGGCCGGTGGTGGGGGTGGGGTGGGAGACGTGTTGGAGGGGATCGGAGGGGGTGGTGAGGGTGCCTTGGGAAAGTAGTGCCAGCTTTTACCATGGGGGTGAGAATGTCAGTGTGGTGGGAGGAGGTGTTGGGGGTGGGAGGGGGTGGGGGTGATCGTTTGACAATAGGACTAAATAACACTCAACAAACACTATACTACTCCCTAAAATCCCATATATGCTTGAACGGTTTGAATTCCACGCATGTGTGGTGTCACATGTGTGTGTGTGGGGGCACGTGTCATACGTGTGTGGGGGCACGTGTCACACGTGTGTGGGGGCACGTGTCACACGTGTGTGGGCAGGAATCGTGTGCGTGTGTGGCGACACACACACACACATTAACAAGGACACACACACACAAACATAGCATCACATGAGCACGTGGGCGGCGTCACTCACCGCTCTTCACACAGAACACACAGGTATGAAGGAGAGTGAAGCTGTGGCACCACGTGCTTGCTCTTGGCACTGTGCCACCTCCCTTCCTCCCTCTCCTACTATATATTTCACAGTCATCATTCTTCCGCAGAGTTTCGTGTGGCACTTTTCTTTCCCAGAGTACCCTTTGTGGCACTCTATCCTACCCCAGCAACCTTTGTGGCACTCTATCCTACCCCAGCAACCATTGTGGCACTCTGTCCTACCCCAGCAACCATTGTGGCACTCTATCCTACCCCAGCAACCATTGTGGCACTCTATCCTACCCCAGCAACCATTGTGGCACTCTGTCCTACCCCAGCAACCATTGTGGCACTCTATCCTACCCCAGCAACCATTGTGGCACTCTGTCCTACCCCAGCAACCATTGTGGCACTCTATCCTACCCCAGCAACCATTGTGGCACTCTATCCTACCCCAGCAACCATTGTGGCACTCTATCCTACCCCAGCAACCATTGTGGCACTCTATCCTACCCCAGCAACCATTGTGGCACTCTGTCCTACCCCAGCAACCATTGTGGCACTCTATCCTACCCCAGCAACCATTGTGGCACTCTATCCTACCCCAGCAACCATTGTGGCACTCTATCCTACCCCAGCAACCATTGTGGCACTCTATCCTACCCCAGCAACCATTGTGGCACTCTATCCTACCCCAGCAACCATTGTGGCACTCTATCCTACCCCAGCAACCATTGTGGCACTCTGTCCTACCCCAGCAACCATTGTGGCACTCTGTCCTACCCCAGCAACCATTGTGGCACTCTGTCCTACCCCAGCAACCATTGTGGCACTCTGTCCTACCCCAGCAACCATTGTGGCACTCTCCATTTTGCTGACCCTCCTACCTGGCACTCTCCTCCCCCCTCCCTCACATCCTAACACATCGACATTGTCAAGATGCTACTGGTCATCCTCTTTAGGGACTCCTTACCTTGAGGTTACCTTTGAGGTGCTTCCGGGGCTTAGCGTCCCCGCGGCCCGGTCGTCGACCTGGCCTCCTGGTTGCTGGACTGATGAATCAGGCTGTTAGACGCGGCTGCTCGCAGCCTGACGTATGAGTCACAGTCTGGTTGATCAGCAGCACCCTACACCCTCACCCACCACCTGCTGAGCAAGCTACACTACAAGCCTTTTGCCAGTGCCAGATTCACGAAGCAGTTACGCAAGCACTTACGAACCTGTACATCTTTTCTCCATCTATGGCGGCTTTGTTTACAATTATTAAACAGTTAATGAGCTCTGAAGCACCAGGAGGCTGTTTATAACAATAACAACAGTTGATTGGCAAGTTTTCATGCTTGTAAACTGTTTAATAAATGTAACCAAAGCCGTCAAAGATATTGAGGAAAGTGGACACGTTCGTAAGTGCTTGCGTAACTGCTTCGTGAATCTGGCCCCGGGTTCTTTGACCTCAATGTGTTAGCACCCTCCCCCCACCCCCCCTCTCCCCCCACAGTCCCCTCACTGCGACCCCTGGTGATTACTGATTGCCCCCCCCCCACCCTCGCCCCCTCCTCTCCTGCTCACGCCAATGTAGGTACGGTATGTCCTTGTCGTTGTAGTTTACATGCACGCACACACGCACGCACACACGCACACACGCACACACGCACGCACGCACGCACGCACGCACGCACGCGCACACACACACACACACACACACACACACACACACACACACACTGGTCCTGTTCATTGACGGTTGAGAGGCGGGGACCAAAGAGCTAGAGCTCAACCCCCGCAAACACAACTAGGTGAGTACACACACACACACACACACACACACACACACACACACACACACACACACACACACACACACACACACACACACACACACCAACAATCACCCCTGAAGGACTTGAACTATGAGGGCAGACTGAGGGAACTGGACACCCCCCCCTCACTACGCTAGAGGAAACAAGCAATAGATGCGACATGATAACGACATACATGATTCTGAGGGGAATTACCAACGTAGCTAGAACACCACTGTTCAACACGAGGACCAACTTTCTGACACACACGTCAGAAAGAACTTCTTCGCTCTTTTAATCGATAACAGATGAATTGAGTAGAAACAAAAAAAGCAATGGAGTCAAACTCTAATGCTCAAGTGTAAATATAAATGACACGAAACACGTTTGAATCGAGTTACTGCATATTGTACTATGTGGTGAGGTGCCCAGTCACTCCCACCCATCCAGATGGTGGTGGTGGGACGGTGACGGCTGGATAGGAGGCCCACCCATCCAGCTGGCGGTGGTGGGACGGTGCCAGCTGGATAGGAGGCCCACCCATCCAGCTGGCGGTGGTGGGACGGTGACGGCTGGATAGGAGGCCCACCCATCCAGCTGGCGGTGGTGGGACGGTGACAGCTGGATAGGAGGCCCACCCATCCAGCTGGCGGTGGTGGGACGGTGCCAGCTGGATAGGAGGCCCACCCATCCAGCTGGCGGTGGTGGGACGGTGCCAGCTGGATAGGAGGCCCACCCATCCAGCTGGCGGTGGTGGGACGGTGCCAGCTGGATAGGAGGCCCACCCATCCAGCTGGCGGTGGTGGGACGGTGCCAGCTGGATAGGAGGCACGGAGCGTCCTTTCTTCATATTATCCGCGTGGTGCGGTCAGCACAGAGCGCAAACGTTCCCACCACATTTCCCAGAGCATATTCATTTTTTTTAACACTTATGATTGATATTTCTATTTTTTTTGTCATATTCCACCGAAGAGTGATGCAGGATAGAGCGTTCGTGAGGCAGTTTACACTTGGTTGTAGTGTGGTTCACACTTGGTCTACACTTGGTGAAGTCTACATCCGCAGGAGGGTGCAGACTCCTTGAGTTATACTTGTGGCCGAATCTAAGCCCAGTAGTAGTTGTTGTAACGTCTAAGATACATAGGCTGGTACTTAGATATGTGGCCCTTCTTGCATAGTAGTTTAATGCCAGATGGTTTATCTTATATAGCGTTCACTTTTCAGAGAACTGCTGTGCCACAGTGAGAGAGAGAGAGAGAGAGAGAGAGAGAGAGAGAGAGAGAGAGAGAGAGAGAGAGAGAGAGAGAGAGAGAGAGAGAGAGAGAGAGAGAGAGAGAGAGAGAGCTTCCTGCGAGTAACCAGACGCAGCAACAAAGACAGAGCTACAGAGGCCTGTAGCGCCCATCTACATGCTTCCTTGTCTAAGGCACTCTCCCTTCTCCTGGCACCTCACCCGTCCTCACACCCTGTCGCCAAACCCAGTGCCTCCTGGCACCCCAGTCTCTGATGGCACTCTCACCCTCCTAGACCTCCTGGCACCCCCAGTCGCACGTGGCAGTCGAGGCCCTGCTCACACCTTACCATCTCTTGGCACTTAATATTTGGCACTCATTCCCCCTCTCACAGCTCATAAACCCAAATCAATTTAAGACGACCTTTAGGCACTGCTACGACAACTCAAGTCGTGTAGAGGTGTGTTGACGACTAAGATTGCTTCCTAGAGAACTTTTGGTGTTGTTCAACACACGGGAACACCAACACGCAGACGCCCAGGCTAATATTCTTCAGTTTCTCTGTGGCTTCTTCCGTCTGTACACCCCACGTCTTGGGAGGTGTCGCATGGAAGTATCCTCACACATACACTCGTTAAACTATCTTAATACACCACTCACGAAAGTATCTTTACACTCATGAAAGTATCTTTACACACAGTCGTGAAAGTAGCTTTATAAACACGCCCCCCACGAAAGCGGCAATATTTTCGAATAAGAATATGTGTCGCCTGAAATAAATATTAAGATTTGTTGGAGGCAGCCGCCACCGCCACCTGGTAGAGGGCTTGGTGCTGCTTCCACGTGGAATTGTGTGTGTGCGTGTGTGTGTGTGTGTGTGTGTGTGTGTGTGTGTGTGTGTGTGTGTGTGTGTGTGTGTGTGTGTGTGTGTGTGTGTGTGTGTGTGTGTGTATGTGTGTGTGCCCCGGCTTGTGGCTTCTTCCTTAAGTGTCTCCCCCTCAACATTTTCCACACTCTTCTCTATTTACGGACGGGTCGAAATCTACTGATAAAGTCGAATTCTGTAAATAAACAAATCCACAAGGGCCATGCCGAGGATTCGATTACAAACAAGAAATTGTGAAAGAAAGTATCCTATACGCTTGAGGACAATTCCTACAGTTGCAGGACTCGAATATACAAGAATAATACAAAGATCTTGGAAGAGGAACTTACCTAGTGCAGGTGAGGAGTGGGCGGCGGGAGGTGGATCCTTCGGGGCGGGTCTTGGTGAGTTTGTGGGCGTGGGAGGTGGCGGGCGCTGTGGTGGAGGGCGCTGTGGTGGAGGACGTTGTGGTGGAGGACGCTGTGGTGGAGGACGTTGTGGTGGAGGGCGCTGCGGCGGCGGCGGCTGCGGCGGTGGCGGCTGCTGGTGGGCAATGAGTGGCGGTGCGGGGAGGGGCGTTCGGTGCCTGAGGAGGGGCGATGCCATGTGTGTGGGCGGGATGTGGGTGTGGGCGGGCGGGGGGACGTGGTGGGCCACCTTGGGCGGCAGTAGCGGCGAGTTGATGGAGGTGATGACATGGGCGTGGCCCCCGTTGACCGCCTTCTCGCGGGCGGGGGCGGGAGCGGGCGCGTGGAGGGTGTCCATCGTGAGGTCAGGAGGCCAGCTAGGAGAGGGCGGTCAAGTTGAGCGACAGGGGTCAGGAGGCTGGGGTCAGGAACAGGGTGGAAGTGAGAATCACCTCAAGGCTGGCATGTTCCAGACTTGGCTATATACAAGAAGTCCCTGTCTTCCAGCTTATAATACACGTTATACACCACACACACAATACACCCCCACTATACACCCCACTATACACCCACCTACTGCTAAGTGCCCAAGCCTGGTCCAACAGTTTGTGATAAAGATGTATATTTCATCTTCACTGGAGACCTGCCGGCGCAGCCACCACTGACACGGCCATCATCACTACTCCGCCTCTACGTGGGAGACCACTTACGCCTCTACGTGGGAGACCACTTACTTGCCCCCCCCTCCCACAGACTAATACTACACCGCCACTGAACACTCCTCTCAACGACCTCTCCCACGCTAGCGTCTTGAGGGAGCCGCCGGAGGGGAGATTCTGCAGTAAACCCGCAACGATTCCTTTCTACAGGGCGAGACTTCCTCCAGAGATCCCGGGTCTGGGACGGCTGAAGGAGGGATAGTTGGGTAGGGGATGGGAGGGGGGGGGTTATATGGGACGAAAAGGAGGGTGGGGGATGGGGGAATCCCAGACGGCTGGTGCGGGATAGTGAAGGAACGTCCCCAGGACGGGGGCGTCGTAGACAGGCCGGCGTCCTCAGAACAGAGAAGCAGGCCCGGGTTCTCTGGTAGTAATCCAGGGCGGCAGGCGGCTCACGGCAGGGCACAGATGTCGGCGACGCGGCTGGGGGACCTGTCAAGACAACACCACAGGTATTAGAGACAGGTGTTGGGGCAGGTGTTCAGACATGGGTGGGGGGAGGGGGACAGATCATGTGAGGGGAGACAAACATCATTCGACACATCATCTCACATCAATTATTGTATTCTGCCCAAAGTGTCAAATATATCCATGAAAAGAGAACTTACGCAGCACCCATTATTAATACTTATGGAGACACCCCTCGCTAGTACCCATACTCCCACACTGAACACTCCCAGTACACATACTCCCACACAGAACACTCCCAGTACACATACTCCCACACAGAACACTCCCAGTACCCATACTCCCACACAGAACACTCCCAGTACACATACTCCCACACAGAACACTCCCAGTACACATACTCCCACACTGAACACTCCCAGTACACATACTCCCACACAGAACACTCCCAGTACCCATACTCCCACACAGAACACTCCCAGTACACATACTCCCACACAGAACACTCCCAGTACACATACTCCCACACTGAACACTCCCAGTACACATACTCCCACACAGAACACTCCCAGTACCCATACTCCCACACTGAACACTCCCAGTACACATACTCCCACACAGAACACTCCCAGTACACATACTCCCACACAGAACACTCCCAGTACACATACTCCCACACAGAACACTCCCAGTACACATACTCCCACACAGAACACTCCCAGTACACATACTCCCACACAACACTCCCAGTACCCATACTCCCACACAGAACACTCCCAGTACCCATACTCCCATACAGAACACTCCCAGTACCCATACTCCCACACAGAACACTCCCAGTACCCATACTCCCATACAAATCATATATACCCCTCCCCCCTCCCCCCTTCCTCGCGAACATACGTGCAAGATGAGAGAGAAGAACTGGCCCCTACGGCAGGGCTCCAGAGGGGCGATCACTGACCGACACATCAATCTCACTCTAACCAAGAGAGCCCAAATGTGTCCCAAATACGCGAGCTAGAGCAGTGATAAGGGGCAGGTGAGGAGGAGGAGGACGTGACGCCCAGCATGGTCTGCCCCTCAGGAGACACACCCCCACACACACACGTCCTGGTCTGGCGGTACTCTCCATACATCTTAACTTATCCCTTGACATACTTGGTTACGACTCGAGGTGTGTGTCATCAGTTTTGTCCAGCAGTTTTTTTGTGTGTCATCAGTTTTGTCCAGCAGTTAGCTTAAGTTGACACCACTAGCGTCAGTTCTCCCCCTTAAGTTGACACCACTAGCATCAGTTCTCCCCCTTAACCTGCCACCACTAGCACCTGTTCTCCCCCTTAAGCTGACACCACTAGCGTCCGTTCTCCCCCTTAAACTGCCACCACTAGCACCTGTTCTCCCCCTTAACCTGACACCACTAGCGTCAGTCCTCCCCCTTAAGATGACACCACTAGCGTCCGTTCTCCCCCTTAAACTGCCACCAATAGCACCTGTTCTCCCCCTTAACCTGACACCACTAGCGTCAGTCCTCCCCCTTAAGCTGACACCATTAGCGTCCGTTCTCCCCCTTAAACTGCCACCACTAGCACATGTTCTCCCCCTTAACCTGACACCACTAGCGTCAGTCCTCCCCCTTAAGCTGACACCACTAGCACCTGTTCTCCCCCTTAACCTGCCACCATTAGCGTCAGTTCTCCCCCTTAACCTGACACCATCAACATTAATCTTGTATTCCTTCTAATTCAGACAATTGCCCTGTCTTGTGAGGGGAGACGAGCATCATCAAGTATTCATGGTGTGAGGGCACAGATGAATTGAGGAAAAGATGATTGTGTTGGCATCCCAGGACTTGGAGGCTCTCATAATCCTCCACTATCATTTTCTTGGATGATGCGGCAGTTGCTCAGTCATGGTCACAAAACGTTAGGTAGTTAAGACTATCATTATTCCCTGATCCTTTTGCATGTCGTTTCCGTTGTAAATAGCTGGAATTTATCATTGTTGACGATCTTGGGTCCCGTTATCCAACGGGAGACGTTACTGTTGTCTGTGTGTGTAGCTTTTCTCAGTGTTCGGGTGTGATTATGTTAGCTTTACCGTTGTTCTGTGTGCTGTTTGATAGGAAATTGGATATCATAAGCTGTGGTAGCACTCTCTTTCCTTGCCACCGTCAACGTCACCCTTGAAATACGCTGCCACCACCAGTGCCACCCTTGAAATACGCTGCCACCACCAGTGCCACCCTTGAAATACGCTGCCACCACCAGTGTCACCCTTGAAATACGCTGCCACCACCAGTGCCACCCTTGAAATACGCTGCCACCACCAGTGTCACCCTTGAAATACGCTGCCACCACCAGTGTCACCCTTGAAATACGCTGCCACCACCAGTGCCACCCTTGAAATACGCTGCCACCACCAGTGCCACCCTTGAAATACGCTGCCACCACCAGTGCCACCCCTGAAATACACTGCCACCACCAGTGCCACCCCTGAAATACGCTGCCACCACCAGTACCACCCTTGAAATACGCTGCCACCACCAGTGCCACCCCTGAAATACGCTGCCACCACCAGTACCACCCTTGAAATACGCTGCCACCACCAGTGCCACCCCTGAAATACGCTGCCACCACCAGTGCCACCCCTGAAATACGCTGCCACCACCAGTACCACCCCCCCCTGAAACTCAACACCATCTGCACGATTGCACAATGTGGAGGAGACCTCAGGCCTTCATAATACCCCAACAAGTACCCAGGGAACGGCTGAGTAACCTCAAGCTCAACTGTTTCGTCACGACCCATTCTTACGGTGAATCATTATATCCCCCACTTAACTGGACCGCTCTGTGTCGCTTAACAGGAAGATTACACAGTGTCACCCCCCCAGCCCCACCCCACCACACACATCCAATTCCTCCCTCCATCTGTTACCCTTGCCACACATCTCCCACTATTGCAGCACACGACCGTGAACCACTACGACCAAACTGGCATCACTGAACTCTAGAGCGGGCACTAGAGCGCCCGCTCTAGTAGCGTCGCAGTACAGGCAGTGCAAGAGTACAATTAGGTGCCCTCGGCCGGCAAGTTACAGCCCCGCTCCTGTGCCAGGCAAGTCCACTACGGGCTCACCATAGCCCGTGCTACTTGCAACTTTTTGGTTCAAAGTAGTTGATTCTTAAACAGCCCGGCCGGCTCCTCAACCCCGGAGGTGGGCACAGCGTCACCCCACATACCCACCAGGAGGTTATCTTGAGGTTATCTTGAGATTTGGAGGCCAGTCCTCGACCAGGCCTCCACCCCCAGGAAGCAGCCCGTGACAGCTGACTAACACCCAGGTACCTATTTTACTGCTAGGTAACAGGGGCATAGGATGAAAGAAACTATGCCCATTGTTGGTGGGCAGAGGTGGGCACAAGTGCGCCATAATTAGTAAACTGGTCGAGGCACCCAGGCGCGGATATCCCTGGTTTACACTGGGGATTAGACAGTTTACCTCCAGTCCACACGAGGGGTCAGGGAGGTGGTTGAAGCGTGTCGGGGATTTATTTACTTCTCAACTATTGTTGAGAACTATAGTTCCGCGGTGTTCCGCGGTGTTCCGCGGCGCTCCGCGACGTTCCGCGGTGTTCCGGTGTTCCGCGGTGTTCCGCGACGTTCCGCGGTGTTCTACCATGTTACACCGTGTTACAAAATTAGTCACGGTGTTATGCAATCTTCCACCGTGTTCTACGGTGCTCCACGACAGAAGAGGAGGAGGAGGAGGAGGGGTCCCCAGTAAGGGGGCGGAGGCGGTGGAATGTTGGAGAAACGAATATTTCAACCCAAGACCGTCGCAGGTACCGTGATGAAGTGGCCGCAGGTTGGTGCGGGCACCGTCCCCCGAGGAAGGGGATGTAAGGGGGTGTAAGGGGGAAGGGGAAGAAAGGGGTGCTAACACGGAGGGGCGGGAAGAGAACCTGGTGGCTGGGAAGACGAGAAAGTGAAGGCTATAATAGATGGAGTGGTGCGGATTAACCTCTACGCCAGGCAACCCCCCAACCTAAACTGAAAATAAAACATTGATTGTAACCATGATATATATGTGCTTCAGCCTACAGTTTAGACCTATTGTCTTATGTATGACCCTCTGTCCTGCGTGACAGTGAATACCACCATTATCCTCACTTTAATAACACTATCAAAATCCTCAGATTAGGCAAAATAGTAATTAATTTTGTCAATAAAGATGTTAATAATAATAAATCAATTTCCCTCCTCGAAGTACCAGGCAAAATATGGGGAAAAATTAATCAAGAGACTTGTGTAGTACATAGAAGAGGAAGAGAAGTATACCACCAGGCGGCATGGGTTTAGGCACCACAGAGGGGCCCATACAGATATAGCCCTCATCTACCAGCATATAGTCAACGCAATGTAGAAAAAAATAAGTGTAATATAGTGCTTAGAGACGTTTCGAAAGCCTTCGACAAAGTTTGGCACACAGGCCTAAAATATAATAAATCTGAGCTAGGATTCCTACAGAGATTTACTGCTACTCTCTACAGCTTTATAGACAACAGAACTGCTAGGCTTAATATCGGCAACTACTTTGGTGATGTAATAGAACTGAAAAGTGGAGTACCACAAGGAAGCTGCCTCTCTCCCACTCTATTCAACATATATATATACAGCTGACCTACCCCAACCCCAACATGGAGAATACATCACATACGCTGACGATGTCACCCAAATAATATGCCAACCAGGACCATCAAAGCCGCTTCTAGCCAATAAGACCAAGGCAGCAATTGAATTCATAAACAACTTTGAGAAGCAATGGAAAATTAGCACAATTAACTAGCACAAAAGCACAAAAAGTCCGAAAATTAGTACAAAAGTTCCAGATAATACACATTGCAAAAAGAAACCCAGATCCCATTATCCTTGACAACTGTTCGATCCAGAGGTAGGCAGAATACTGGGGCTCGTGATCAATAGAAGAAGGGATAAAAATTCACGTAAGGGACCGACTAA